GTCACTTTTCTCTGCATGAAATTATGTCACTATTGTCAAAACAGCAACGCCTGGCGAGGGGTCCGTCCCCGGAGATCTCTACGCTCAATCCCAAAGATTAACCTTCTAACAGCCTCAAGCCCATGTGATCCGGCCGGGTGCTAACGAGCTCAGCGCATATCTTTTATTAGATAAAATTAGACCGCATATCTTTTATTAGATAAAATTAGACCATCTGATCAGTCAGTCTAATTTTATCTAATAGGTACAAGATGTGAAACATCTGGTTGAACAAGCCCGCCACTTCACATGTATGAAGACACTGCCGACACGCGAACAGGAAATGAGAGCTAACTGCCACATCGTGCAGGATTGCAGATGTACAACACCAACACCCACCACAAACACGACAACCCAAACACGGAGGGATAAACAGATAAATCAAAACCATGGAATCACGTATGAAATTGCACTCAATATTCTACGGGTACACGGATAGAACGAACCCATATCTGAGATACATATCCCTCTACCCCATGCAACAAAGTACACAGTCACATACACAAAAGATGACAACCAAAATGTCTTGTTGAGCCTGTTACCCATCACTACTTTCACGGCAGTTCTTCTCCTCAGATAGTATGGGATCAAACAGTGGCATTACCTTCCACGGTCGGTGTATCCACTCCTCGTGAATAGAGGAAGAGAAATGAGTGTCCACTACTTAGCGATTGACACTCATTTCCAAACTCCTCACGATAAGTTTGTTGGAGAACAACTGAGCCAAGATAGAGACGACCTTGCCGATTTCTTCGACACTGGAGGGTGGTGTGGCCGTGGCCATGGTGATGTTGGGGGCACTTATCACTGGTGGATGGTGTGTGGATATGCCGAAGAGAGAAAAACAGGGAAGGTATAGTGCTAGGCTATTGTGAAGCTGCCACCGCAGGCGATCCTGAAATACGACGACTGGGATGGGGGCTTCTACCAAGTCGATTCAGCTGCAAAGCCCCAGGGCCAGTGGACAGGGGCGTGCTGGCTGACGACTGAACGGTCTCAACAGAGCACTCTCTTATCTGTTTTCCTGTGGGAACAGGGTTGGCGCATCTGGCTTTCTCAAATATTGTCTCTTTATTGCGTGACAGAGCCGGGCACGATTTTATCATTTCCCATCTCCGTTCCTCACAATACACCGGGAATATCAACATCATGAATGCAGGGTCTCCCACGCTTTCTGCAGCTTTGCTAAAACGCCCATGGGTACCACCCGTCCGTGGGTACTTTGATGCCCATGGTTGACCCATGGGCATGCCCATGGGTAGCCCGTGGTAAGCCCATGGCAACCCATGGGAAGCCCATGGGCGGCCAATGAGAGCCCTTCAACCGGAACCAGTGTACTCCTAAACAATAGAGTATCTGCTTTGGAACGGGCTTGATAGCGGCTAGAATCCAACGCTAACCCTAACCCTGACCCCAAGCCCATACGATACGTGCTAGGTTGGTGCTGGTGGCTAACTTCTAGATGGATGTGCAGGTGGCTAAGTTCTAGGTTGGCCGGTGACGAAGTTCTAGGTTGAAGAGCGTGGGCACTTCATGGGCCGCCCATGGGTCACCCATGGATGGGCGGTTTAGCAAAACTGTCAGTAGTGTGAGAGATTGTGAATGCACCGCTAATTTATCTTGGACCATTATCCACTGATAGCGATGGGTTTGGTTGTATTTCCTTCCAAAAAATAAAGCAACTCTTGTCTCAACCTCACGTTTTTTTCACATGTCTTGCATGCAATAGAGGGCCGGCAGAATTCCACAGGGTCCGTAGGGTTCATGGGCCGCCACCAAGCCTGTCCACCCAACACTGCAACTTGGACACGCACGCAACCAAAGATATTTTTCAACCGGCCAAACTCACAGAAAACAGCAGCCCGGCAAGCGACTGCTACTGCTGTAGTACTGCTGCCGTGGCAGCACATATGCTGACGCTGTGTTGGTCGGCTGGTACAATAGCTACCACTAGAGATAGTTGGTCTGCTCGTTGGGCCACCGCGTACATTTAATCCTGTTCAGTCGTTTTTCAGGTCTGGATACATGAACTCCGCAGCAGTGAGTGACGACGTTTAGCAGTGCGGTCGGATTTGAGATAACATCGCAGGATCAAAATAAAACACAGGTTGGATCAACAGGTGCCCATCGGGGTGACACGGTCAAATCCGGTGTTTGAAAAAAGACGACCAATCCTTTCGAGGTGCTATCATAAGACATAACTAACGGCGCATAACTAAACATCACAAGTGTTCTCGAAAGTGCGTTTTCTGGACCTCTTAAACTTACCAAACCATATCTCTTGCGCCCAGTCGATGCGCCTGAAACAGAGCTTTCCAACGACGACGTAGTCTATCCCATGCCCTGTACCATACGAGTCCCAAAATAACACGAATGTGGATCTGTCAATCCCCTTCATTGCATGCACCATTTCATACGACGGCAGCAGTAGCAACGACCCGTGCACACCCTATTACGCACGAAAGGTGCTCAAACCTGAGAACGGCACAAACTGTTATGCGTTCGCCGTACATGGCCGCCATTTCCGCATTTGTATCAAATACACTACCTGTTACGCTCAGCTATTGGTACAGAGTGTAAATGTAGATGGACGCTCAATGAACAATCTTCTGTAGTGCTAATGCTAAGTCATGACCCACCGTTTCTCCTTGTACGTATTCATGTATGTATGTGTCCCTGCAGAGCCAACCATGCGTGTTGTTAGCTCAAGCATCGATCCGCATCGCAAAGAAAGCGACGTGAGTGGTGAGCACACGGTTCTCTACCCTACCACGTGTGCCGAGGTGCACGCGGCGCTGAACTACAAACCCGACGCCCCGGCGCTGGTACGCAGCGGTCGGCATGCTGCTGACAGTGGACGCGTCGATGGCACGGCCGCTGTAGTGGTGAACCTTCGCAAATTCGCCGCTGTGGAGATCGACGGGGAAAAAGTGTCTGTCGGTGCAGGGGCTACTACGTATGACCTGGCCGTCAAGCTCATGGAAAAAGGGCTCTTCCTGCCCCTGGATGGGAATCCGGACAAAAGCGTCCTCTCCAACGCCCTGTCCACCGTAAACGACCTCGTTCATCATGACCTCCTGAGCGCGTTCGTGGAGAGCTGCACGTATGTCGCGAAGGAGAGTGCTCAGCCCATCGAAACGAAGGACGTGACCGAGGCGAAGAATCACGTCATCACCAATGTGGTGTTCAATGCACTGCTGTCTACGGAAGCCGCTAAACACTACAAGATGACGCGCTTGACCTTCGTGTACACCACAGACCACTTCAGGCGTGTGGTGGACCACCTAGTTTCTCACAAACCTGGGCACTCGACCCGATGCGCCGTTCTCGTCTTCAGCGGCGCATACGGTATGGCCATGTTCACGGTGACGACGATGTGCAAGGAGGGCTCTTCAGAGTATACCGACAAGATGATACAAAAGCTGAAGGAGAAAGAACAGTACGTGGAGGAGCTCATGTTGGACAAGGCCTCGGCGGAAGGGGTGGAAATCGTGCAGGCTGTCGCGGAGGAGGGCCAGACAAGCAGTACTTCTATGAAGAGCACCGCACGCATTACGCCGGCATAGTCACGACACCCGACCAATACTCCGACTACTTCACTGCCGTCGATAGGGTCTTCGGCTCCAGCCCCACCCAAGCACTCAGCGTGAAGGTGTCATCTTCCCTGCGTGTCGAGGAAGAGGGTAGCCTCACGGTCTCTGTTTCGCTGCACGGACCATCCCCCTCCTTCCAGACACCGGACGACAAAAAACTCCATCGAGACTTCGATGCCATACTTCCCTCTGTGCCCGAGCCCTCTCTACAGCTTGAAGATTTGCCTGCGGTTCCGCCCTCTGTCGACAAGGGAAAGACCGTCTGTTGCGATATCCCGGGCTTCGGTGGGGAAGTATTCGATAAGACGGAGAAGGAGTACGAGAACAAGGCGACTCAGTACGCCACCACATCGTACACTGAGGAGAAAGATCGTGAGCGCATGCACCCCTTCGTCATTGGCTATCCCGAGAACAAGGCCGACGTGGTCGCGTTTGTGAAGTATGCTATCGACAAAGGGAAGAAGGTCGTCGCTCGCAGCGGTGGCCATCAGTACTGCGGGCTGTCGTCCGGCGGTGAAGACACCATGCTGTTGAGCATGGACCTCCTCCATGACGTCACTGTCTTCAATGCCCCGCAGCAGAAAGTGATGGCTCGGCTGGGCCCCGGCGCTCGCCTTACTAACCTGGCAGCAGAGTTGAAGAAGAACGGGGTCACCATCCCACACGGCGAGTGTCCTGAAGTTTGCATCGGTGGTCATGTCCAGTCCGGTGGTTTCGGTCATCTCCTGCGCAGCTACGGCCTCGCCCTCGACCACGTCAATTCGTTCGAGATTGTGCTTGACCTGAACGGCCACGTGTCGACCTACACCATCAAGCGACCCTCCAAGAAAGTGGACGAGAAATCAAGCATCGAGGACCGCATCTACTGGGGCGTTCTGGGCGGTGGACCGGGAAGCTTTGGCGTCATCACCGAGATTGAGTTCGAGTGTATTAAGGATGCGGCCCACCGGTTTTCACGGGGATACAATGGCGTGTATCGGTACTCGAAGGGTCGTTTCGAGGAGGCCATGGGGGTGGTGCAGAGGCGGACCCAGCAGGTTGTACAAGACCGCACAGGTCCGTTGACTAAGGGGGCACTGTCTAAAGACTGCGATCTGATGATCACAGCCATGTCGAACAGTGGCGACCTTTCGGGAGGAACTTTCAAACCCGCGGTTATCCTGGTGGAGATGGTGCACGGTAACGTCCACGATACTCCGTTGCCGACCAGTGATATTGAACGAATGGAGGACGAAATCACGAAGATCAAGAACGCCAAGCCCTGGATGTTGTTGTCGAAAATTCCTACGTCCAACGACTTCGATCTAGGATCCCCCCGCACACTGTCATTTATGAGCAACGCTTTCGTGCGGAACACTGGGATGACAAGGGACGGGCGCGAGTACAAGTTCCCCTATGTGAAGCGCCTGAACTGCACAACCGATACACTGACCGACGAGTTCGTCCAGAAATTCATCGACCTCGTTCATGAAGCCATCACAACACGCGAGGTCAAGCTGGTGTTCCAGATGGTGATGGGAGGCGGCGCCTACGAAGGAAACGGCACGAAAGGCATCACGTCAATCCCCCACCGCAACAACGTCATCGGCATCGTGTTCGATGTCTTCTACGAGAAAGATGGCAAGGATATCGCGAACAAACTTCACAAGAAATTCGGAGCGCTGCTTCCGTCCTTCAGCAAAGGCAAAGATATTCGGATGACGTGGGGCTCCTTCGGCGAAATCAAAATGGAGAAAATGTGGGAGAGTTACTACGGCGATAGCGGACTGTACCAGCGTCTGCAGAAGCTCAAGGGAGACGTGGACCCAAAAGACGTCTTCCACACACCCTTCACGGTCCAGCTCGATTCGTCGGATGGTCAAGAAGGCCCCAGCGCGAAGAAGCGGAAGACCAGCTGGTGAGTATCAGACCCGCGCCGATAATGCCCTCGGTCTGCACGTGGGATCAGAGCCTATGCCAAGCACACCTTTGGTCGTAGCTGGAGACACCGCGCTTTCTTTGTGAGGCCGATCGGACATTCCCAAATGACGTTGTCTACGTTGCATTGGGAAGCACGACTCAGGGTTCAAAATTGTTCTCGCCCCCCTCCTAGTGCGTTGCCCAATACTCCTATTCATTTGGATTCCTCAGTGCCTGGTGTCGACCCTCCAAAACCTCATCCGTTCCTGCTTACCGTCCCGTGAACCCATTCGCCACCGTTGGCGCGACCCCAATATCAGTAAAAGTCGAGCCCCGGTTGTACCATTTAACCGCTTCCACATCTTGGTGCTGTGTTGCTTGTGCAGAAGGACGCCCTCGAGGAGGTGATGCAGAAGGGCGACATTTTTTCATCGAAGCCCCGATCAGCCACTCAGATTGTCCTTACTCGAGACATTGCTGCCTTGATTGTAGCCGCATAACCAGCTGGGTCGGATAATTTCATGTTATGGTTTCAGCACGTGATTCTGGGTGAATTGAAATTGGGTCACGGGGTGAATTGGAATTCTAGCTTGAGGTTGCAGCGGGTATATTGTTGATGAAGTTTTTTCCGACGTCTCTACACGTTGGGTGGGTTTTATCTCCTGTCTGCTTTGCCTGCGAGCATCAATAGTCGCAAATTTGATGTTTGGGGCATATTATTGAGGTGAAATTGGAGAACGTTCCACAACACGGACATACTGGACTTCCTACAACTTTCTCATGTTGACGATTGATTGATTTGTTTTTCTGGGCTATTTGGGCATCGGCGCGTTTTTGGTATTAACGCAGGATCGGGGGAGGTTTCCATGAGCGTTTCATGACGCCGCAATCTTTACTTTATTGCTGCCTCCCTATTCATACCTGTTTCTGCTTGTGGGTATTTTGTCGGATGAAGGGTTCGTCATGTTCTGATGAGTGCTAGGTGGAGCTACCTACAGTATGTGCTTGCGTGGCTTGTGTTGAGTTGGACAATATGTTGAGATAGGGTTTGAATTTGAGAATTGTGCTCGGACGTTATGTTCGGACAAGATCTGAGTTTGTTTTCACCGTCACATTGAGAATTGTTGAAATTGATTGATTCGTAGGGAAACGACGAATGAATGACATTGAAGTTCAGAGAAGTGGGTGATGGAGAATGTTTTTTCTTGGTAGAGACGTTCGTTGATGAGCGTCAGGAGTTTGGAGGAGAGCATTTTTTGCAGACGATTGGATCGTTTGATGTCTGACGATTGGGTGGTGTTTGGGGTGCTCGGCAGAGTATACTGTCTACGGGACCTCCGGGGGATACGCGGATGAAATGTGTTGATGGGCATGCCGCATGGCGATGGTGTTGCCTACCGCATGTCTCTCACTCTCTAATCAACCAAGGTCTTGAGTCAACCTTCTTTCTCTTTCGGCCTCTGACGGGCTACCGCACCCAAACAGGTGGATATGCGGTTGTTATGTGGTTTGCGGGCGGAACCCCCCGCTACCCGGGCGAGCCTCCCAAGCTCCTTATTCGCTCTCGAAGAATCAAGGTTTTGAGTCAACATTTTCTCGTTGCCATCATCAGGACGACGCTGCAAGCACCCAGACAGGGAATGAACGACGCAAAGGTCGAGTGTGGAGCGGCACCTTCGGAGGGGGCGCAGCTTCAGCCTGCCACACATGCCGTGGCCACAACGGCACGAGTTCGACTAGCGGACACGCCAAGTCTGTGTAGGGAATCAATGTAGGGCATGACCGTCTTTTCGGGACGGATCTATTCTTGGTGTACTCAGAGCTCACTCCGGTCCCCTTGGTACAAAATCTCTCGCCATTGGTGGCGCGGAGAACCGCAATTTGGAATTTTGGCCACATGGGGTGTTATCTCTCATCATTTTTGGAAATAAATCTCGTTTCTGATCCTTGCACGAGTTTTCGAACCACCATGAGTGTTTTCGACCCAGACGATGCCCATAAACAAATTCGAGGTCAATCGAAGCACGTGGTGACGAGATACCGCTGTTGCAGGTTGCGCCGCGGCCCGCCCCGAACCCAAACATTGTTTTAACCCACTGCCAGGTACGCCCCCTCTCCCAGCGTTTCAGATAGGCCGCAGGCCTAATATGCGGCAACCTGCCGCAGGTTGCCGCAACACCACGCCGAAGGCGTGTTGCAGCATTTTAGCCCCCTGCAGGGGCCCCCTAATCCCACAAACTACATAGTAACATCGAATCAAAGGCATAACATCGCAGGGCATCATTGCCCAAAACATGTTTCACTGTCAGCGAGGAGAGTTACTTGTCGAGAGAACTCAAATGCATCTGAAACAGAACTCTACGTCGTTTGTAGCCCGACACGGTGGTCGAAGTCGCAGTGAAAACGTTGAAAAAGTTATGTAGCATCTGAAAGAAAATGGTACCATGTCGTTGAAGAAATAGAGCTCCACCGAAATACATTCTTGACGAAGTCCTCTCATTCATATCCTTCGATGACATGCATAGGCCGGGCTTTCGGTGTCCCATGTTGGGGTGTGAAACCGAGTCCCGACTACTTCCAAACATGCTGTTTCACTGTCGAAACCCTGAGTGAGAATCTCACTCATTCATTCTTGTCAATGACACTCATATCGAGGGCTGTCTGTGCCAGAGGTCCCGGTGTCGCACCGACTCCCGACTCCGATCTCAGTGGTTTGATCGAATCAAAGGCATCACATCGCAGGGTGTCATCGCCCAAAGCATATTTTTTCACTATCGGCTTCGAGGAGGGTCCCTCGTCGAAAGGACCCATATGCACCAGAAGCAAATACTCTGCGATTTCGGTAGCACGACACGGTGGTCGAAGTCGGAGTGAACGTTCGTTAAAATCTGTTACATCCCAAAGAAAATGGTACCATATCGTCGAAGAAATAGAGCTCCACGGAAATACAGTCTTGACGAAGTTCATTCATCCATATTCTTCGATGACATTCAAGGGCAGGGCTTTCGGTGTCTCAAGTTTCGGTGTGAACCGAGTCCCGACTTCTTCAAAACACTGTGTTTCACCGTGGTAACACCCTACGTGAAAATTTCGCTCCTTCGTTCTTGTCCATGACATTCACATCGAGGGCCGTCTGCACCCGAAGTCCCGGTGTCGCACCGACTCCCGACTCCGACACGCATATCTCCCTAGTTCGATCGAATTAGAGGCATTACATCGCAGGCGGGGCATTGTCCAAAAACATGTTTCACTGTCAGTAAGTCGAGGAGGCTTTCTCGTCGAGGAAACCGATGTGCATCTGGAGCCAAATCTCTGCCTTTTCAGTACTTCAGTCGCACAACACTCTTGAATGTTTGTATGTGGAAGTACTGCGAAACCAACACGATGATCCAGTGTAAAATGGTACCACGTCGTGGAATATGTGGCCTACATGGAAACGGACCGGACCAATTCACTCGTTCTGTCCATGAAATTCGCAGCAGATTCAACGGTATTCGAGAAATCCCCTACACCAGCGGTGACAAGCGGGGAAAATATCGTCGGTAAACCCACCTTTCGCTCGCGCCCTATGGCATTTCTCCGAAACGTATGGACCGTCCGAAGCAGTTTCCGGCCCGCACGCTGTTGTTGATGTTCCTCCGCTGCGGCGTTTCCGTCGCTGATACCCTCCGGCGCACTCGGCGAAGGTCGTGTTTGGCTTTCTACCCCCCATCCTCCTCTCACCCTTGGCTCGTTGAAACTGAAGGCTGCCCGCTTCGCCCAACCCCGTGGGCAAGTGATGGTAACCCCTTGCGGCCCGTACGCCAACCTCCTGCAGATATTCCATCCGTTTCCGCCTCTGTTGTTCATGTGCCCCCCGTCTGCGTTCCACCTTCTTCCCGGGGGGCCTTGCCAACCCCACTGTCTCCTTTTCTGTAATCCCATTTCTTCTCCATTTTGTTCTATCTATTTTTCTCCCATCCACCTGCGCCCTCGTTCTCGGCCATCGTAAGGCCGTCTACAAAGGCAACATTGGCCTACATGTATCTCGGGACCCACATGTTGATTTTGATTGCGGTCGAAGACCGGCTTACACAACAGCTGGTGGGCGTGGGGACACAGCAAAATGTGTTTAGTGCCCATAGGATGTGTTATCGGAAAGGTTCGCGCGGTGTCTTGTTTACGACACCGGAGAGGTGGTGCTACGGCCACATTCTTGGGCGTATCTCGGGAACCATAAATAGGCTTGACCAAAGGATGGCTAGTGTGACAGCTGGGGGCCCTAGGAACTCAGTGCATTCGATTTCGTGTCTATTGGGATGTGTTCTCGGAAAGGTTCGCGCGGTGTCGTAAATAAGGCATATTTACGACACCGCCGAGGTGGTGCTGCGGCCACATTCTTGGGTGTATCTCGGGAACCGCACATTAGTTTCGGCCAAACGACGGCTTGCGTGACAGCTGGGGGCCCTGGGAACACAGTGCAATTAATTTCGTGCTTATTGGAGGTGTGTTCGGAAGTTTCGCGCGGTGTCGTAAATATGGCCGCTGTTTGTGGCGCAGACCAAATGGGTGGTTTTTGACGCACAGATATAGAACCAGCACCAATCGGCTGAATGGAGGCATGGTGCAATGTTTGGCTGGCATATCTGACGATGTGTTCCAGCTTCACAGTGCCTGTCATACATGTACACCATTTGTGTTTTTTTTCCGCGAGAGTTTGGCGACGGCACAGTCGCCATACTGTGTCTGTCTCTTCACAGTCGGTATTGTTTTTTTGGCAAGAGTTTGACTGGCAACCAATGGTTGTTGTTTCATGTGTACAGTGACAGGCATCCCCCCAAAAAAAGACCTGTCTCTCCCCCAACACCGTGGGGGCCCCAACCCCAAACCCCAAACGACATCGGGGACACGTCACTACAGTAGCACTCGCCACGAGGATTACAATAGCAGGTGGTGGTGATGTGTCGTCTTATCTTGTACACACAGCAGGCACTTACTGTACTCTGAATCCGAGGCTGGTTGGACCGTTATTTTCCTCCGCGGCTGGTTTCGAAACGAGAACCATCCGTCTTGTTGTTCATTGTCCGGCTTCGACAGACAAAGTACACTTCATACTCCGCTGCACTCTAATTCAAGAAACGTGCGCAGACATCCTTCTTCAACAAGCGTGCTGTTTTCCTTTCACTGTATCGTTCACCTAGCTTCGAGTGGGATTTGTCGGATACCGCTCTTCTTTTCTGTGTTTTCAAGTCTCCTCAACATCAATTGCTATCCAGTTGAGAACACCTTCGTTGAAACGTCAAATTCGGTGCAACAAGTCGTTTCCGAGGTCTACTCTTGATTCGGTATTTCCGAGGTGCGTCGCCTGAGTCAAAATCCATCGGGTTACTTGTAGGCTATCTACATGCAAGTGGTTGGGTAGATAGCGCTTCGATCGATCCATCGTGTTCTTCGTGTCGTAAATTGGCGTTGCCTCTCCTGATAACACCATTCGCAAGCACACGCAACACATAACAGTACCGGCGGATTGTTTGGTATGTCGCTTGTCGCAGTTCTCCCATACGAGAAAAAATACAAGACGATCCATGGCAAGGAAATGGCCTACATGGAGCACGGCACCGGCGATCCGATCGTGTTTCTGCATGGCGTCCTGCCGTCATCCTACCTGTGGCGTAACGTCATGCCAGCTTTCGAGGGCAGGAACGCCTGGTTGCTTCTGATCCCATCGGCATGGGCGACTCGGAAAAGATCGACAACTCGGGACCGAACAGCTACACCATCCCCGAACATGCGCGTTTGCTGTTCGCGCTTTTAGAGGCGCTTGGCGTGACAGAAAAGGTAACGCTTGTGATCCACGACCGGGGGTCCGGGCTAGGCTTCCACTGGGCGGAGACGCACAGGAACGCGGTAAAAGGCATTGCGTTCATGGAAGGTGGGGTGAATCGTGACGTGCAGGGAATTGTATGGCAGAAGACGATGATGTACGCACTTAGCCTGACTGCCATTCCGAACAACCTGATCGCCGTGCGCCTTGCCTTCCTCGCTCCCCCCCCTCGTAGCATGCCTCCTCATCCTCTCAAATTAAATGCACCGGCCTGGTGGCACCCACGGGGATGGGCGTGAGGTTGCGTCGATACTGCAGAATGCGCCAGTCGCACTGTGGGGGGGGGGTTTCGCGGTACCCGAATGAGTGGGATTTTGGATCATGCTTGTGCGTGGTGGGGAACTTTAACTCCACTCACGGGGGATGATCGTACCACACAGTGTTCATGTGGTGAAGCACCACGAGGAAGTGTATCCTATGGCTGTCTCCGGAAGAGAGACCATTCCAGGCTTGTCATCCATACAAAAACACCACTTTTTAGATCTACGCAAAACACTCTTAGCGGAATGCAGCTCACCCTTCATGCGACTCGCCGAACACGTATCGGCACTTCGCGCTTGGTGAATGCGATGCTGGTCCAGCGACACCCCGATGTTCTCCGTCCGTGCGTTGTTGGGATACGGAGTGTAGGCCGAACGACTACGGCATGCGTGATAATAATGTACTAACTCTGGTGGCAGTTGTGGTGCGGGTTGTCTCTGCTTGCATTGCGGTCCTATGTGAGAGGCGCATGGCAGATTGTTGTACGTAAACTCAACCCATTTGAAATTTTGTCCAACCGTTCTCTTGGGTGAGATGACATAACAATTCCACGAAGGAAGTTGGGCATAAGGTCAGCCCACCCTCGCTTATCTTTTGGAGGCCACGGTTTGCCGGCGCTGAACGGCAAATAGTCAAATAGTAACCTTGCGGGGGATTGACATGGAGCTTTTGGCACGCGTAAAGCCTGAACACACTGGTGGCTGTGTGCTGATTCTGTCCGTCCCCTGTCATTGATCGACCGTCAGGTATTGTCACTACCTTCCCGACATGGGACCACTTCAACAAGGAACTCCACGGCCCTATCAAGCAGCTTCGAGGACCCGAAGGCGAGAAGATGGCGCTGGAACACAATTTCTTCATCGAAAAGCTTCTACCGGGGGCCATTCTTCGTGGCCTCTCGGGAAGAAGAGCACGCAGCCTACCGCAAGCCTTTCCTCGAAGCCGGCAAAGCACAGGCCCCCCCTTGCGGGGCCTCGCTCACTTCCCTTCTAAGGAGACCCTGCCGACTCTGTGGCTATCATTGAGGCCTATGGTGCCTGGCTTGCCGCATCCCCGGTCCCCAAGCTTTTCATAAACGTGGAGCCAGGAGCCTTCTTGGTGGGCCACGCGCGTGGCGTCTGCCGCGGCTGGCCCAATGTTACGAAGGTTACGGTGGCTGGATCCCACTTTATCCAGGAGGACTCCCCGGCCGAGATCGTTGCAGCCATCATCAACTGGCTGCCTACCTACCATTGAGATCTAAGCATTGCACGCCCTTTGTTAAGAATCTGACAACAAACGTGTTTGGGTGCGTTCCTCTCGATGGTGTTTAGTGTATGGGCGGGCTCCAGCCGTTTGCAGACGTGTGTGTACGTTTTCCCTGTTGTTTGCACCATCCACTTCCCGCGAAGAGAGTGTTTCGCTTCTGTCCTTAGTTGTTGTTCTTGGTTTCACAGCCGAGTTTTTGTTCGCGCAATGTATCTTTTTTACACGGATACGTTTGTTGGATATCCATCTCAGAGGTCACAGAGTCCGTACACACGATGAGGTCCACGGCCTATGATCGGGGTACCGAGCGAACGGTGGTGCCGTCGCTCTGACCAAAGAGAACCACCAACAACCTGCATCAGATATCTGTGCTGGGACGAAGTCGTGTCATCTCCTTTCAAAGAGCAATTAAAACGTGGGGGGGAGGGTTAGCGGCACGACGGAAATTTTAGGGATACGTCCGACTGGTACTCGTTCCATCGCCTCCATCATCATCAGCCCGGAGAATATCTCTCTATCCGTTCAGTCATCCCCGTCCTGCTTTCTTCGGCTGCAGTCGTGCTTTCTATCTTTCGACGTTTCCCCACCCGTGTCCCCTTCCCCCGCTTGCTCTGCTGCTGTCCTTTTGGTCTTCTGTCCGGTGTTTTTCTTGTTCCGTTCCTCCTCGCACGGTCTGCGTAGCTTCTCTTCCTCCTTGTGCCAGTTGACCATGAACTTCTCCGCTCCCTATCACGCTTTTTTACCACGGCACCCGTTTTTCCACCTTCGCTGCGATAGGCCAGCAGCCACGCGATATCCCGAACGTCCTGAGGTCGTCATCCGTGGATTCGGCGTTGGCACCGAACTCTACAAAGTCGTCCTTCAAGCACAACACCCAATTATTTTCCGGGTGCCCTCTGCCTGGTCCTTCCCCCGCACGATATCTCCGAACGTCGATCGCTTCGGGAGAGTCGCCCGTCCGGGTGTCTGGCCAATGCTCCAGCAAACGGTAGTCGCCGTAGTCGGACAGTAGCCTCCATGCTTTGGCATCCGACCTTTCTGAGGGCTTGGGCGAATGAGAACTGCCGATATTGGCCGCACGTGAAGGGGTAACCGATAACCCGTAGCAGAAGCCGGTAGTGTGTAATCGTCAGCAGGTCGTAGTGCTTGCAGCGCGGGACTCACGTCATACATCCGTACAGCAGGGCTTCCATCGCTTCCGCTTTTAGGAGCCGGACGGACCTTTACTCCCCAGTGCTGTCGGCCTGTCGAAGAGCTCCCCGGTGTACTTCCGGAGGCACGCCCATGCTGCTGCTCTGCTCCGTTGATTGATCTCCTGGGAGAGTTCATCATTATCTCTGACCCGACCACCCAGATAATATCTCGGAACTCCGCGTTCTGGGTGTACTTCTGTTCCGCTGCTGCGATCACCAGCGGTGCCGCCGTAGGTGGTGTGGATGGCGGTGGCGGCGCTCACTTTTCGGTTTTGTACTGCAGCAGACCACAGTAGTATAGACTGAAAAGAAAAAAGTGTAGGCCCCTCCGTGGCGTTCTCCAACCGGAATTGCTGCATGCGCACTCCTCGCGGTAGGAAAATAACAAAAAAATCCCAGCCCTTTTCGATCCGCTGTGTGTAGGATTATCGGTGCCACCACAAGTAGAGAATGTGGAGAGGAGGAACGAAAAGCTATTTTCGCGGACGCGCAGAAAATCTTGTCCCGAGGTACTGCCGAGAGAGAGTGCTGTGCACGGCCACACGTGAAGAACGTACATGAGCTTTGATAGGGTATATTTTCCATCCCCCGCTGGTGCGTGTGCGTGGAATCAGCCCACAACCATAGCCAGGAGTTCCAAAATCCTCGCGGGATCACGAGACATGCGATGCCCCCGGATGCCCGATGCCCCTCCTGTGCGGCGAGAAAAAAAAATACAAGTCCCGCCGCATGTAACCGTCAAACCGAAATTCTTGGTCGTCTAGCTAGTCTTTCGAGCCTCGACCCTTCACAACCTTGACAACCCTATACCGTTCATGTATAAGTACGAGGTTTGGTGTCCGTACTAGACAGATGGCATCTAGCTGGTGCATGGCTAGCTACATATAGTCTATTTTGTGTGTGCACCTGCTTCGTCGTGCACGTGCGTCTTTCCCCCGCACACGCACCGGGGTGCGCGCAAGGCAAACCTATTGCAATGTACGTGTACGCACCGCTGATCACGAGACTGCTCTTGTTGTATTGAACACAGGGCGCGCAAAATGTGACGTCGTGAATGAAACTGTAACCTTTGAGGGCTATTGCATGCTCTTCAGATCGGCTGATGACATTCAGTCGAAAAAGAGCCCCAAGTATAGACTACAGCGTGTCGTGTACAACTGACGAAGAAGAGGCCGATCTGAGGACGGTTGTGACAGGTAGAAGGCCAGATCAAGCGAGACGAGTTTTGTCGAAACACCATGGAGAGCTCGGGTGTCTCAGCGAAGATGGTATCTGACAGTAAGTGCCCTCTTTCCGTGTCCGTTCTACTACGCTACCAACAATACTGAACAATATATCTTACTGCTCACGGATCGGGCAGATTCATTTAGACTAGTCTACACATCTGCTGTCGATCCTCTTTTCATATGCACAAGTCCAGTGCAAACAACGTTCTGGAAGATGCACGTCAGGCCAACAACGGTGTAAGTCTGCTTGCGATCATTGTTGATATCGGTTTGAGTGTTGATGTGGAGGCCTTGTCGGTATGGTAGCGTGGGTCTGCTGTCGACTCTCAGACAAATTATGTACAGTGTTCACGCCAATAGCGGCGCCATTGCTGTGCCCGTGTGTTCTCCTACATATGCCTTGCTTGGTCACACAATGAACTTGAACTCACCAAACACCTTCGTACCTGCACAACCCATGCGATCTAGGGGTTCTAGAAAGTTTTGGACGTTCCTGATATACCCATCTGTCGTGTATTTCAGAGAAGGTTTATGAATTTTTCGGCGTCAAAGAGGGATCACCTTCCTCCGACTGACAAAAGGCGAGGTTCTTACGTACAATATCGTGTGCAATGCGAAGCACAGTCCTTTGGTAGGCACGAGCGTTCGAAAAAGGGACACCATCTTGACAGCGTAGTAAAATACCCTTCAATCTTACGGCCTTCGAGACTATCTTCTTATACCCACACGTTCGTTTTGCCAACAGTGGATGACCATGGCGAGATGCGAGTCGACGCACAGAACTGGGCAGCAGCAGCGATAGAGAGCAAAAGCGACGAAAAGGAGATATCAAGAGCTATAAAGGTGTGCACCGTATCTACGACCGAAGTATCGCAGTCTCCTCTCACTACTGCTGTCGACGCAAGCGGCTCCGGATGATCAGCTACCTGCGAAAATCATTCGCCGAGAAGACAGGAGTATTCGTTCGGAACTTGCTCATTGGAGGGTGGCTCCACTCGTGGGGTTCGTCTGAACATCTGCTCACTCTTCATCCCCTGACACCAGCAACAGCACAGTATCAACGACCGATCGACATGCATCGTAGATAGTAGGTGCCACTGGCATAGTTTGTTGTAGCGTAACCACATGCTTTCGCAGCCAACTTTTGGATTTCAACAATCTGATGACGAGCTTCAATTTCATCGTACGGGTGACCAATGTAAAAATTCCTCCTATACGTACGTCATGTGGGGTGCTACACAGCTAGACAAGCGGGGGCTTCTCAGAAAGAAAGAAACAGAATGTTGCAACATGTGACGCATATGGTGAAGAAAATTGCTGGTTCGACACTGATTCTCTGTTGAATCCTAAATGGCCAGGCGAGGAAGAGATTAGGAGGGGAGGGAGACAGGGAGAGAGAGGGGGGGAAGGAGAAATGAAGATGGTTCATTTCTAAGGAAATAACGGTCGCTGTACTCACTTGGATATAAGTGCTAGGCCCAAAAACGCTAACAAGGAAGAAGCGAACATGTTGACAACATAGAATCAACGACCTATACTGTTTGCCGTATTTCTCGTAGGGTTCAGAAGGTTAGCTGGGCCTTTGGAAGGTATGTGGTAAAATGTCCACAGGACTAACAGCACGCGGGCGCCCCTCACCTCCGCTCAACGCGGGTCTCGACATGGAAACTGCACTTGATGTTATGTGGCATCGACGTGTACACCTTCGCAGAGCAGTTCAGTCTCACGTCACAGCAGCCGTATCTGTGGAGTTGCTAGTCCAAGGGTCCTAGGGCACTATCAAGTGGCCTCTACATAGTCTATTGTCCAAATCCGATAACCAAGCTACTGTGCCAATATTTGAGAAATACCTAGCCTCGGCTTTCAAAGAGGTGGGTACACCTTGCCTATGCGTATTGGTTTCTTGGCCGTTTTCTTGAACGCTCGTCGTCCCGCACTCGTTCAAAACCCCTTTTGACAGTCGAAGTTCGAGGTCAAGTACGGCCCAACATGGCACTGTATCGTTGGCACGGACTTCAAAGCTTTCGTCACGCACGAGAGCAAGCACTTCGTTTTCTTCTACCACGGGAAGATGGCGTTCTGTCTGTACAAAGCCGGATAGCCGTTCTCGAGGGAAGCCAAAGTGATTCGTGCGGTCACGGCCGGGGCGAGAGCTACATTGCCGGGCGAGAGGGGCGGGAAGTTAGTTGGGGGGGGCTGCTCGCCTACGCGCTGGGGTATGAATACATCGTGCTAAGGACACCCGTGGTTTCGTCACAACATGTGTCCTTATTAAGCCGGGGTAGAGTCCTTAAGACTGATACCCCTGTGCATCCTGCGGAGCACCACCATGCCTGTGAAAAAAAGGTGTCTTTACCGATGGCTGCACCGCTGCTATTCTTTTTGTAAAAGTATATTGGTGTGTTTGCGGCGTGTGTCCGGCCCAACCCTGGATTTCGTTGTCGTGCTTCTTTGGCGGGTAGATACAATCCATCCGATCACAATACAACGTCGAGAGTTTCCGACGTTGGGTTTGTTGCAGAGATTTCCTGGCCTGGAAGGTTGAAGTATTTCAAGGCTTGCTTGAGCCCGTCTTGCTGTCTCTTTGAGTAGTCTCCATTCTGTTCTTTCTTGGTTTTTGTTCTTGAAGTGGTATGCGAATCCCCGCCCCTACAATGCTTTCGTTCAGCAGCGAGATGTAGAAACATCTGACGCAGGTCGTCGTCGGTGGGAGGGTGCCGACGTGGACGAAAGCAGCCTGTGTGTTTGAATATATGGGTCAATGTGTGAGCTCTTGCAATCCCTGCGACAGAATAAAACTGTCAATCTCTATACTGTACGTCTGGCAGTCGTACCTTGATTACTACTGCATTGCACAATGTAAGCCCCGCCATGGAAGGATGGCGTCGACGTAAGTATTCCAACATTCAATTCTGATGAGAGTGCCGGCAGATCTCCCGTTGCTTGGGGCTAAGATTGATGAAAAACACTTTTGTGGGGACGTTTGTTTTTCCTGTTCCCCTTGACGCTGGGGATCATGCCCCAACGAGGGCCACCGACTGAGAAGTAAACTGGCAGCTATAAGATGGTGAGGTACTGTAGGCACTCTGCAACTGGTACAGGACTCATGTTGAGCATGTTCGACGCCACCCGTCTGACCTGCTTCGCCTACAATACAACATCTGAGCAAGCCTTACTCAGCACCTCCATACATGTACAACATGTGTACATAGTTGGAGAGCGAGTCGTTCTCTGAAAGGCGAAAATATTTTTGTACGTCGACTATCTACATGCACCCAGCAGCACATATTGTCTTCCCCCCACAATGTTGCACTGCTGTAGATTGTGTGCTCGAAAAGACCAAGTTTCTGCCGTTACCGTATCTGCTTCCTCTTCTCGATCTTGGGTTGAGTTACATGTACAGGGGTTACATGTACACAGCAGTAATGCTGCATGCGGTAGGTAGTACATGTACATGTGCAGTGCACCTTACACACGGGGTCGATTTGTATGAGCGAGCGGATCTGTAGTGTGATACGTTTGTGCGCTGCTCGTTACGTTCCATTTTTTCGTTGTAAGACTGCCTGAAGAACGCCCACAACTTTTGAGATCAGTTGAAATCGCACAGACGTACTCTTGAAGATGTAGAGACGAGCTCTACGTCGGTGAAAAGGTGATCTGTCGATGGTCTGCATGAAGATGCACACATCAGACATGTGTGCGGCGGGTTGGCGCGTTTTTTCGGGGGGGGGGGTCGATTACATTGCGTACCCCCTCCTGTTCCAAGAATGAGGAGGATAGAGCGATAGCCGCTCACCCCTTCGTGGTTCTCACAGACAGGGAGAGAGCGAGAGAGTTCCGTAACGCAACGCGTTGCGTGGTAGTAGCTTTCTGGCGGGCTGAGGCGAGCCAACGGCGTGGCTGCACTTCAGAGCTGTGCTGCCGTCGTCCGCGGGCAAGCTGGGAGATCGACTGCCGCGGTTAGGAACAACAGTGGCTCTACGTTGGGTGCAGCAGGCAGGGACACGCAGCAGCAGCAGCAGCAGCGTAGCGGCAGAGACCATGCATGGAAGGAGGCATGGAGGAGGCGCTCTCGCAGCACTCCTCATATCTCGGCTGGTTGGTCATGGGTCAGGTGAGCGCAGCGTCCCGGCATGCGTTTCTTGGTGTGATCTTGCTCCATCGACTGCTGGAACTTTTGGGTTGGCTCCTGCTGGTGCTTGCGCGTGGGTATCCAGCAAGGTGTGTGCCAGAGACGGTATCTCTGTCTGCATGCAGCAGTCTTCTTGGGCAGCAGTGCAGGTGGCTGCATTTCTCTTCTTTTTTACCGTGAGCGCGTGAGTACTCTTCCTCCGGTGCGCAGCTTGCGACGGCTGTGCAACTCTCAAGCACGCGCCGACATGCTCCCCCCCAACCTTTTAGATATTTTATGTGCAGCTCTAATTTTTTCATCTCGTACGTACTCTTTGGCCCACCGCTCACGCTCGTTGCTCTAGCAACTCCAGCCGACACCATCCCTGGTGCAATCTACTGGTAGGGCCGGCCGCAGGAGTAGTGCGCAGCGCGCCGCTGCCTGCTCACCGCGTGGCGAAATTGTACCCCCACACACTCCAAAGATTTCGCGCAGTCCCAAGAAAAATAAGCAGCACACACACATGAATAATAATTGCGCATGCAAACGCTGAGATCCTGCAGGGGGAGAGAGAGACGACACTTCCGGAGACGCCGGCAGCAGCACACACATCCCCCGGAAAAGCTTACCGTACGTTTTGAGCATATGCATACCGCCGCCCCCAGCTTCTGGTAAAGGCTACGCATAGCAGCGCCCGAACGGCTGGCGGGGGGAGGAGGGCACTGCCCTACACCCTTGTTCGCTACAACCAGCTCCCATCATTATTATCAACCCCAGGGGTTCCTTGAAGTTGGACAACGAGATAAAATTAGCTTGCAACGCCTGTGTATGCGGACTAGCAGCCACGCACCACAAGCTGCTGCCTACCATGGGACAGGCGTTCACCCGCGGGGCGTTGATCGGCCTACAACCAGAGAGAGAAAAAGAACGGACTCTTTTTTCTATATGCACAGCCAATAATATATACATCCGCGCTGTTGCGTGATGTGCGGTGGTGGAGGTGGTGTGTGATGGCAAAAAATCATTCTGTAAATCTGTAACTAAAAAAAAAAAAAACGAAAGCGGTGGTGGGCGTGTTCTTCAACAACGATCGCTTCACGCCGCCGTGACGGGTTGTGCAACAAGAAGGGTATCGGCGTGCGGCAGTCAACCTCTGGACGTTTTGCGCACGGCACGTGCTCTGTCTGTTGGCTCTTGTAGCATTGCTTGCATTCTGTGGCTTTCCTTGAAAAAAAATGTGACAAGTTTCATGCCGTTGCCTCTGCAGCTCTATATGCAGCGGTCGAGCAACGGCCTCCGCTCCTCTTGTCGAGTAAATACAGCAGCAGCAGTAGTCAACAGGAATGTCTCGTGTTGGTTCTGCTGTGTGCGGCGTCCACGTCTCCATCTTTCTATCTGGCGGGCATGTTTACCGAAGACACGTCGACGAAATTAAACCAACGCCAGCCGCCTGCATTGCACCACTAGTAGCACAAGTCTACGCAGGTTTTTTTTTTCGTGTACATGTATGCATACAATGCATTCTGGATAAAGTTAGAAGCTAGTTAGTTGGGGCAGGGTTAGGGTTAGCGTCTGCGTGCCCCCCGTCCCTGGTCCTTTTTTGCGTAGGCTGTCCTGTCGTAGCGAAAGGGCAGGGTGCGATGCGCCCTTCCACTACTACTCGTATGCATACGTGATGTTGGTTTTGTTGTTGCGTTCCGTGTTTGTGGAGAGTTTGATGCGGTTGGCCGGTAAACCCGTACCACCGGCCTCAACGGGGCATGTTCTGTTTTGCTCAAGAGTCGGAAGGCTTGGCAGTGGAACCTATTGTTGTATATACTTCAGCCTGTTAGCAAGTGCCATATTATTACTCGTGTGCTGTCTCGATGACTTTTTGACATCTTTTCCCGCGATTGCGAGGTTATTGTTTTTCTACGTACTATAATACCATCTGTAGCAGCTCATTGTGCATACACTACACCCATTGGTTACAAAGTAACAGACAGAGGTTGCAACAACATTTCCTTTGCGAGACTCTACCACGTAAATCAACGACAACATTCCGGAAAGAGATTCTCCGCCATTCCGTATGCTACTCAGCCCCCTCTTCCTTGGGAAGTCCACGAAGAATGTCTTCGTTAACGCCATTTTCAAGTCACTACTGCTGTGAACTTGTGTGCGTTGGAAGTATGCCGGTGTTCAAATATTCCACGGTCAAGAGTTAACGTGGATCCACTGCAGCCTTGGCGAAAAAACACCCACCAAGCTTGATGGTCGTTGGATTGCGCTACAATTTCACCAGGCGTCGATCTTGCTCCGGTGCCATTCGCACTGCAGTTTCCCCTCTCTCTAGCGAGCGCATATGACTGAGTATCAAAACACCAAACACCGCTTAGATCACCTTTGTAGTGTACTTCCTTATGATGCATACGTGAGATGCCGTGACCGGTCAGCACCCTCGAGTGTCCTTGCCCCAGCAGAAGCAAGGTTGGGATGAGCGAGCGGCAGAGCTAATAGAAGTAAAACGCTCGCCGACCAACCGCTGTTCTGACGCATTGGTATGTCTGATGAACGACCAGTGCAACTCGAACTATGTCGCGCGTACATTTGTGCTTTGTGGTATAGACCACCCACCAGCCCTTGGTACAATTACCCCCGCCGCGCTGCCGCCCCTTGTCGTTCCACTCGCGCGACACCTAAACAACTTTCTCTTCCTCACAGCAGTAGTCCGACTACTGCAGCATACACACCGAGTTTTTTTTCATCCAATCGAAAACAACCTTTTAACACCGGGTTTCCTGCCCGTGCTGCTCTTTGCCCAGCGTCTCACATAGCAGGCATTTCTTGTGCAAACCCTGATTGCAGCGTGCTCGCCCCCACCCCTTCCCCCCCCCGTCTTGTCGCCCACGGCACCCCCAGCCTTCATCCCAGCATCGCTGATGGTGCCCAAGGCGGCCAACATCCAGGGCGCGGCTCACTCGTCGAGCTTCGCGGCAACCTCGTCTATCCCAGCCACAGCGCGGGGACGTGGTAGTGATCTGGGCGGCGTTAGAGGTCTAAAGGCGGTTGCCGCGGCTGAGAGCACTGACGTCATCTCCCCGCAGGGCGAGGAGGACAAGATGGGGGAGTACATCAAGAACCGGGGCGGATCTCTTCCTATCCGAAAGGTGAGTTTTTTTTTTTTTTGGGACGCCGAAACATGTACTATTGTCCCTGACAAGGGATGTGGACCCAGTAGACCATTGTTCTTCTATTGTCCATGGTGTGATATACTTATTGTAGTATGGCAGTTTCGAGTAAAGCACGAAAAATTGTGCATGCGTTTTTGTAAAAATACTGAATGTGTATGGGCGCGCGCTGTGTGGTCAGCGAGATTTGGTGTGTTTATTTCTCCAACAACGTCTCCAAACCAGCCGTTCATGCTGATGGGCTTGTTAAGTAGGGGTGACGCGGCTTGAGGTAGGGGTGATGCGGATCGGGTGGGGGGGGGTGTCGCAAACCTGCAAGAGCCGTGCGGCTAGTCTCTGCGGGTCCGAACCACCTGCTAGTGTCAAAAAGTCAGCCACGCTGTGGCCATTGATTCAACACAAGTTGCAGCGGTGAGCCGCTACTAAGGGTGTTGCTTCAGCACAAGTTGCCACACGGTAGTGAGCCGCCGCTGTGACTGTTGCTTCAGCACAAGTTGCGGGTTGACGCGACAGGTTTTGCTGGAATCTTGGTCAGCGGCATCTCTTCCGTGCCGACGGCTAACGGCGCGAGGTTGAGATATACTCTTGGGCGTTTGTTTCGCCGCCTCTTTCTTTCTTTTTTTTCGCCGGAGCAGATTCTGATCGCCAACAACGGCATGGCGGGCACGAAAGCGATCCTGTCGATGCGGCAGTGGTGCTACCTAGAGCTGGGGGACGAGAAGGCCGTGGAGTTCGTCGCCATGGCGACCCCGGAGGTGAGCGGACGGGGGGAGCGGGGCGTGGGTGGTGGTCTCCACCCTTCTGCCCTCTCTATTGTTGCAGGGTTACGGCTTGGATAGTGCAGGGGTAAACGGGCAGAAGCATTGTGTTACCAAGGGTAGAATGTAGCTGCTGCTGTCTGTTATTGTTGGCGGTGCAAGGCTTGATGTTTACGGAGAAAGGGCGGCGCCATTTGTGGTATCAAGGGTATAGAAGAAGGGGGGGGGGTGTACTCATAGTGGTGCATGCCGTAGTCGTTTGACCGTTGACCTCGCATCCCTGCAAAGCCGGGACGGTAGAAGAAGAGAGGGGGGAGGGGGTAGAGGGCCTGGTCGTTCCCGAGCATGGCGGAGCCCGCATGGTCTACGATCGCGGCTTTCAAGAAGGTTTTGTTTAGTTTTCTACATTCGTGTACGAAAGAGGGCGGGAATATACACACTTGTTGATGTTCGGTACGCGCTGCCGTTGTGGCTATTGGGAGAGTGTTTCTTCGGGCGAAGAGATTGCGGTCGCTCTCTGATGGTGTGCTTGGAGCATCTTAAAAGGCACTTGGAAGAACAGCGACTCCTTATCTCTACAAACACCGCCGTTCGCTTCTTCTTCTTCTTCTTCTTTCGACGTTTCTCGTTTTTTTTCACCCTTGGGAGAGTAGCAACTAAAATCTTGTGCTGTTTCCCCACATGACACCGTTCCGCTTTTTTTTTTTTGCGGTTCCTTGGACGTTTTCGCAATGCCATGTCTTTTCTGCAGTGCTTGTTTCCCCATATGAAACCGTCCGCTTCTTTTTCTTTTTTTTTGCGGTTCCTTGGACGTTTTCGCAATGCCATGTCATGTCATGTCTTTTCTTTTCTGCAGGACCTTCTTGCGAACGCGGAGTTCATCCGCCTGGCGGACGCCATCGTAGAGGTCCCCGGGGGAAAGAACAGCAACAACTACGCCAACGTCGACCTCATCGTCGACACCGCCATCAAACAGGTCGGTGGTGCCGCGGAGCGCCCCCCTCGTGGCGCGGGGCCCCTTGAGAGACTTGCAGTACACATCCATGCACGAAACAAAAGCCGTTGTGTGTTTTTAACGGATGATGCCATGATTTAGGTGCACGTCGGCTGTAGGCGGGGCATCGACGGAGTGTGGCGTTGGGTACTGGGGGCGCACTTATCGGTGTTTGATTACTACTCTGTTCCCGACGACCCCGACCGGTGATGTCGCGCTCTCGTATGTCCAGTTAAATGTTACTTGCACAACCCAGTGCCTGTTGAACCCCTTGCCCACTCCCTGTTGCTCTAAGCCACTTGCAGTTGCTCGAGGACACTGCTTGCTGCTCGAGGCCACTTGCTGTTCCTCTAAGCGACTGCTTGTTTCTCTGGCCCACTCCGTGTTGCTCTACATAGGCGTGGTCACGTACGGCCTTGGGTAGTAGAGGAATATCGGGGCTGGTCAATGAGGTACATACCCCGTTCCAGCCTTGTAGACAATCCTGCGGGGTCACTGACACCCAACCGCTACAACATATCCACGGCATTCGCTTACATGAGTACACCCCCCTCCCCCCCCCCAACATCTCCGACGAACAGGGCGTGGACGCCGTGTGGCCCGGGTGGGGACACGCCTCGGAGAACCCCCAGCTGCCCACCCGCCTGACGGACAACGGCATCAAGTTCATCGGCCCCACCGCCCCGGTGATGTCAGTGCTCGGGGACAAGATCGCCGCGAACATCCTCGCGCAGACCGCCAAGGTGCCGTCCATTCCGTGGAGCGGCGACGGGCTGGAGGCCAAGCTGACTGATGTGAGAGATGAGAGAGATGTTGGATTCGGGTGTGAGATATGTAATCCTTCGGTCGGGTCTGATGGGACCTTTTTTTTTT